CATATTTTTGTAGTGTCTACAGACTCTGAAATTGACTGACTCCCTGATGTCGTCATTTTTTTAATAGCTGTCACACATCTGTTTCACTTCGGATTACCTAAAGGCAGTTGCCATTTTGAGACACCGTACTTCGGTTATTTTTGTATAAACTGGTCAATTTCGTCTTGTATCACAGAAATTCTAGCCCACTCCACGGGTTTTATGAATGTTTGCTTTTAATAACCACTAATTCACTGCATTTCATGTATAATCACTGTTTTACGGTTAGCCACCCATGTTTGAACAAATGGAATTAACTTTTTCTTTTTTCTTGAGCACAGTGATGTTCTTTCATTGACAGAAGTATTTTTCGTATTGCAAAGTATGGGTTTTACCTAGTAAAGCATAAATTAGAACAAAATCCCCCACTTCGGTGATATCATGAGGTCTAGAAACAACGGAAAATATTCATATGATTTCATTCCAGTTGGCAAGCAGAAACAGTTTCTCTTATCTTGCCAGTGTTTAAAGTTTTACTGTCAATATATGCTATTCCATCCTTTTGTATGTACCACTAGTACCGCTGTCAGAATCGAATACATTTAGCAGTTTTATTTTAATATATTTCAATTCCTTCTTTTTTACAAGTTACAAACTCTGGTCAGCCAAAACAGCCATGAAAACGTACAACATGATGTGTAACGACTTTTCAGACAGAATGTAGTATCTTACAATGGTTTGATTTCTGTGTATATACAAAAGCTCGGCTTATTTCGCGCCTCACAGGACCTCGCTTCTCGAGAAAACGCTAAACTACAGTTATAGACGTCCGCATTAGCTTCGTATTGTATATGTTGTCACAATTTTAGTCACCACCTGTACACTTTGTTCACATTATAAAAGACTAGGAAGATTCCAATTGATTCAGTTAATTGGTTAGCTTGTTTGTGAACTACATTCAGATGATTATCTTGTGTGAGAACATATTATACACTTTCTGAGAATGCCATGTGCCGGGCTTTAATTTTTCCGAGTTCCTTATTCACGATCATCTAGTAGAACTCGTTGAAGTTTAAAATGTCAGTGCAGATATCTGATGATATCAAAGCTACATATTTTCAGCTTCCATTAATTGATTATTTTGTACTCAGGAGTTCCACAAATACCGAAACTGTCTCATATTGATCAGGCGTAACTTTTTTCAGCTTGTTCTTCTCGAATCCACTGTATATCTTCTTAAAGAAGGCGATGTAATATAAGTGTAGACGGCTTATTATCGTTGATGAAGCCATAATTGATGTAGTGACTTTTAATAATAATAATAATATATTTCTGCATGAGCAGGTACACGCCATTTTTACAGCCATGATCTAAGAATTACAACATTTGTTGGCTCACAGCATGCTTCCTAACTCATTAGGTTCATATTTGTCATAAAGTAGACTTGTAGAACGCTTATAGTAAATTATAGCCTTGAGGAGACGCGTACATCAAGTTTGTTCCAGACGTCAGAAGTTCCATATCTGTGCACTCAGAGCAAGATTCTGAAGCAAGAAAAAAAGAAACTGAAGAGCAGCAAGGCAACTGGATATGAACACCAAACATTGCTCAACATTTTGCAGTAGAACAGACAGAGGTGTAATAAATGAGGTTAAATTCATATTATTTCTTGTTAGAGTGAAATGAAGTCGGAGGCTCTATATAAGAGAATGTAGTACTAAAGAACAATGAATTATTATGTTTAACAAGTTGGAGTAGGCTCACATGAAGGAAAAGAAATCAAGGCTGGTACAAGGAAAGCTGTTTATTAGAAGGGAGTGTTCATTTAGAAGGTGAAGTGTTAGGAATACTAATAACTACTTTATTGTCTAAGTTTTTTCTTGCTTTTTTTCCATCCCATGCCAGTCACACACTCCTAGTGTAAAAGTCCGAGTTAGCATGCTATAGGTTGTCTTAGTAGAATAGCTAATCCAGATTAAAATTGGAAACATGAGTCTGAGTGGTGGCCATAGGAAGACAATCTATATCACAGATTGATTGACTTATTCTCAATCATAAAGAGCTCGATACATACAGAATGTTCTGCCCCACAAACATGGGGGGATTGAATTCATCACCCTCACCATCGATCATTGCTGGTCAGTGACTCCAGCCTCTCTCTTTTTTTGATGTTCGGCTCATCTTAGCTTATTTCTGGATATATGTTATACCTCACACAATTCTCTGTGTTTCACAACCTGTTGGAAAACACTATTTCTTTAAGTACCATTTTACAATCTTATCATGCAGTTTCAAGTTATGGACTGTGGGTAAGGCATCGATGCAGTGCTTCTATTCACTATAGTATAAAGTATAGTTTGCCAATCAGAGTATAAGCATTAAGAAGGGTATAATGTAGGATAGTTGTTTATTAAAGCAGGCGGAAAAGTATAGAATTATATGAGTTGTAGATAAGGTAACGAGTGGAGAAATAATATTAATTGCTAGTCAACATAGTGTACTGAAGAGTAAAAGGCTAATAAATAATAAACAGGAAGAAACTCACATTAACTTGATGCTGATGTTATTTTGTGCTGTCCGAACCAGTTGAGGGGTAACAGGCTCCATAGATGCAATACCACTGGTAATAGGCAATCGACTGTGCGGTCCTCTTGACTTTCTGAGGGTGGTAGTGAGTGTCCCTCAGTGACCAAGTTTAGTTGAACAGTATCGATAGGTCCAGTGAGTTACCTGTCTACTTCAAGTGGAGAAATAGGGTGGAAAAAGTAACTAATACAACTGCAAAGTAGGAAAAATAAGGCAGACTGAACTTGAAGTTTGTTTTGGTCTAGACATGTAGAGAGCCTATGGTGTCTGAGTAAGGCGCAGATGTGTCCGTACATGCTAGATCAGTGCAAGTGAGGGTTGATCAAGCAGTTTTACAAACGTTTGTAGATACTTTGTTTCTGAGTTTGTATTCATGTGGATCTCGGGCAGGCACTATATTACATGTCGAATAAGCATGGTTTTTGAGTAGTTTAAAGCAGAGGATCAAATTAGACCTAAGCCTTCTTTTCCAGAGGTTCTATTCATAAGCTTTGGCATCGGAAACTGTAGTCAATGACTGAGTCAGTCTTAAGTATTTCGCCGGTGAAGTATCGTTGTATTCCTTTTATTTTTAGTATATCAGATAAGTGTACGTCGGAAAATAAGAACGAGCAGTATTCAACGACAGGTCTTACACAAACTTTATAAAGAAGAATTTTAGATTCATTTTGATAGAAACTACAGAGAATGAAGCCAAGCAATTTCCGCATTGTAGATGCTTTGGCTGAGATGTGTTCAGAGAAGTTAAGACTGTGTGAGTAATATACCCTTAGGTCAGTTACTGATGCCAGTCTGGGCAGTGTGTTATTGTTAAGTGTTAGTTTTGTTTTAAGAGACGTGTCTCCTATGCATAACCAGCCGCATTTCTCTGTGTTGAGCCCCAACCTCCAGCGTTTGCATCAGTCGTCTACCATGTTGAGTTCGTGTTGGATTGTTTGCATAGTACTACGTACATCGCAAGGTTAGTTTTATAGATGACTTTTAAGTCGTCGGCATAGGGATAAGTCTTACCTGTGCTAAAGTACTTGCATATATTGTTGATGTAGATTATAAAGAGCAATGAACCCAAGAAACTACCCTGCACAACGCCACTGGTTAGTGGTCAAGGTGTAATTTTGTACAGTTATTCTTGGTTATTTGGTATCTGTTCGAATGAAAAGACTTGATCCATAGTCATAGGAGGTTTATAATTCCAACTGACTTCAGTCTGTTGATTAGAAGATTATGAGGTACTTTATCAAAGGCTTTCTTAATATCGAAATATAGTATAACCACTAGTTTCTTCTGGTCACGTATACGAGTAACCTCGTTAAAGAAGTCTGTCAGGTATGTATTGCAGGACCTTGTTCTAGTGAAAGCATGTTGTGACGGGTCTATTAGATCTTCCTTAAGTAGGTGATCAGATAGTTGATTTTGCATCACTTTCTCGATTATGCGTGATGCAACTGGAATGATATTTATAGGTTTGTAGTTTTCGGTCAGGTTTCTAGGTCCTGATTTGTGCTTGGGAAGAACATACGTTACCTTCCAGGTAAAGAACACTTATACTACAGCAGTACTTTATCACAACAGAGCAACATGAAGCTCATATTTTTGAAGATCACCAATGTAGGTGAGCTGAATAGATGAGTAAACGCTTCCTCGAGCTGGACAAGAATGGTGTGAACTTCTAGTATACTTTGAAGTTGCACCGCCCGGTAATAATCAGTGTCAATTTAACATTCATCGTATTCATGTGCCGAGGATATTTTGATAGCCGTACAGAACGAATATAACGTTAATGAGAAAACGTATCAGTAAGAACGGCTTGAAGAAACAAAGTGCGACCAATATTGTAGCCACCTGTTCATAACGTGCAATCATCTGATGACAGCTAGCTGTCCTCGATTTTGACGAGCAGTGGTAAATCGTTTGACAACGAGTGACATGCCTACCCAGTGACATTTCACTGCACTTACACGTAATTTTAGATAACCCCATATGTGACTAAACAAAACACAATTTCGAACAACTTAGAAGCGAAACGTTTGATATAACAAACTAAATCAAAATGCCAGAACAAAAATGAGGAGAAATTGCACATATAGACCATAGAGATATATGTGACTGTAAATAATTTTCGATGCTGATTAAACAAACCCCAGCATTAAAAGGATGTATATTTTCAAGAGGAACTTGAGAACAGTTTTAGAATAAATAAAAAACCACTTTCTAAAACAATTTATAACACCTATATAGAATATAGAAGCTGAAACTGTTGATTATTAGATGGTTATACCCCATACTATCTGTGAAAAAAAGTAGGAAAACGGTTATTCGAATGTTGTGTTGGAGTAAAGACATTCACTCCACTAGTTAATTGTGACTTGTTTAAATAATTACTCGCCGGCCGCGGAAAAGTCGCTACCCGGTTTTGAAATCAAAACGTAACGCGAATGGTTAGTCTCATATATTTCTTAACCATATTGTATGTAGGCAGGAGGTAAAGCTGGAAAGGACTCTGGTAAAGCAAAAGCCAAGGCAATTTCTCGTTCACATCGTGCAGGCCTTCAAGTAAGTCTTCTTTGATCTGAACTACGTTTATCATAATCAACTTTCAAATCATTCTTATGGTAGGATGACAATCATTTCCCTGACCGAATTAACTTAAGATTTATTCCAAAAGGTACTGACATTGTAATATATGTTCCGGTTTTTGGGATAGAGAATCATGCGATTTGTCCTCCTTATAGATACTGCAACAATACCTGGTCGAGGACCACTTCCACATTGTATACTAAATAATAAGTACTCGTACAGTACAAGTAAAATCGTCAATATAGTTGCTCTTTAATGTATAGGGTTTGGAATAGTCCGTTTACTAGTAGTCATAATTCGACAGACTTGTCAGCTATAATGAATTCAAGGTCCTGTGAGTTGTTTTAGAAATTTAAGTACCAAATCTTATCAGTTTTTCGAAACAAAGTTTCTTTATATCTGTGGGTTTTTAGAGTCCTAGAAATCTATAAGCAAGCGGATAAAATATTTCTCCCAAGGGAACGTCTAGCAGTGCAGTGCCTTACCAATGAATACGTTTATTTCGAGTGTAATATGTTTTGCTGTATATCAACTTATGGGTGTCTGTATCAGTAATAAAAAGTAATCAGAAGCAGGGTAGTTAGGAGTTAGTATCCTTTGTGACCGTCTAGGTTTATATTTTTCATTTTAGATAAATGTGAACATAGAATGTTAGGTGAGATTATGGATGACGCTAAAACGATTTTGGATTGTCCATCTATTTATCAGGGTCATATATTAGTTTGGGGAATTAGATATGATGTTTCTACGAACTGATATCAGCTATAATACCAAAATGGTATTTGGCCAAATGAGTTGGTGAATTTCGTGCCCAAATCCCAGATCTGATTGGTTCGTGCATAAATGCGTAGTTTCGTCTAATAGAAAAGTCATACATATAGTGCGATACAGGGATTCAGTATACAAAGAGAGAACGGTATACAGAAGTGAGCGATCGCTACTGATTTTAATTTTTATCTCAAGTAATCATAGGTCATGATCATCGTGCGGACTCCGACTTGTTTCTGTGTATCACGACACGTCATTTCAACACTAAAGTAATACTACGTTCCAGTTCATCTGCCCATAGCTTCCCCTAAGCTTCTACTGGACAACAATCAGGGAGTTGCAAAACAGGCACTTCATTCAGTAAAAGTCAGTCTCATGTCGTATATCGAAAACCATTTTTGACTCAGTTATCTAGTCTTTTAAAATGAAATAGAAATTAACGATACCTAGTAATCGTGTTTGTATAAACTTTCTATGTCCCCCTATTCTCTTATTCTAGTTTCCTGTTGGTCGTATCCATCGTCATTTGAAAGCACGCACTACTAGCCATGGGAGAGTTGGGGCTACTGCTGCAGTCTATTCGGCAGCTATTCTAGAGTATCTGACTGCAGAAGTTCTCGAATTAGCTGGCAATGCAAGTAAAGACTTGAAAGTCAACGTATAACACCTCGGCATCTACAGTTGGCCATTCGTGGAGATGAAGAACTTGACACATTGATCAAGGCAACCATTGCAGGTGGTGGTGTTATCCCCCACATCCACAAGTCCCTTATCGGCAAGAAAATACCTCCACCTAAACCCCTTTCAATGTAACAAGATTCATAACATGAATTTTATTGTATTACTTCTCACATTTCTATCGATGTTACATTATTTTTGAAGAGGGCATCTGTCTCCTCTCAAACGTATGAACCCTATTGCATTATATGTGTGAAGTAGTAGATTTATTCAGACCTATTTTATTATCTGTCCATATGTTCATATTTGTAAGTAAATGTCGAAATCACGTTCCCATTCCCTTAATTTCCATTTATTTAACCATTACCAAGCATTAGTTCTACTCTTGAGTTTATCATCCTTAGTTACAGTTTTCTATAGGAACTGGAAATATCATAGGGAACTGTTAGTTTGTTAATGCCAAAGGTTTGTGTTAATCCGAGTACAACTGGTCAGTTTTCATCAAAGTTCTTAGAGTTTAAATCAAACAGTAAGAATTTAAATTCAGTCCTATTTTGCCACTAGTTAAGATTAGTTGAATGTAGTGATTTTGCGTAATGGAAGCTCATCGTAAACATTGGCTCCTCGACATCTGACGCTGAAATGAACTTGAAACTGCTGTTCTAAACTAGGCTGGGATTCGGTTTACGAGTAATATCTTGCAAAAAATTTTGCCTGTCACCCATTGGCTTGCTAATCGTCATTTAGAAAACTACCTTGACTCTGAACGCAGGTGTGCTGGTCTTATTGTAAATATGCCTTGCGACGGTAACTGAGTCAACTGATATGCGCTAAATCTAGTGCGATTGAACTAAGCCACAAGAGATACTGCCTAGATATGTAGGGTAGTTCAGTCTATCAAAAGTAACGCGTGGGTGGTTGGTACATGCACTTGTGCAAACTGGTCGTCCACGTTTAGAATATATTTGCCTATTACGGTCGAAGCTGGCGTTGCATAGAGCTAATTGGGTAGGAGTTTGACTGATAGCAACTGGTGATTAATGTACTATTGGGCCGACAGTTACTCCTTCGTTAGTCTGACTAGTGCTTGGTCGGCCTGTTGGTTGAGGTTTGACTCACGCTCTATGCACCACTGCTGAGTTCTCTAAATTAAATTTGGTGCAATGTAAGAAATGTGAGTGACGCCAGTTGCTCACGCCTCGTGTTCTAAGTAACTTGGTTGCTCACAATCAGTGATGTTTCTCTGCGACACCCTAGTTCCTATGAAGATGATTTCTGGGTAGTCTATAGCATTAACTTTTGAAATAATCTATAGTTATTAGCCAGGCTTAGAGTCTGACTACTCATCAGCGTGGTGAGTTGCTATTGTAACTCGGTCAGGTTGGAATTATCCCTCCAAAAACGACAACTCTACATATTTGAAGTGTCAGATTATGAATTATAAGACTCAAATAAAAGATGTTTTTATTACTGTAATAATTACGATTTGATCTCGAGTGAGCAAGCGAGTTGACTGCAATTTGTGGACGAATAAATCAGGTATAAGATAACAGATGTCGAATTTTGACGCTAAAGCCTCTCATCTATTTGGCTAAATCAATTTCTGGCATTATAGCTGATGTCAATTCATGATGAAAACCCCATATATAATTCCTAACTAAGGCAAATTACCACTACAAGCACTTCACTATTTATTCACGACCCATTGGGTATGTACAGAGCATACGGGTATAGTGTTTTTGGAATCTGATGTCAGATTTTGTCGAAATCTACATCATTTGGCGATACCAACTAGATAACTAAACAAATTAAAGTGATAAATTGTTGGTCCCCATGAACTTTACCAATGGGATATTCCTAGTTAATTATGACGTGGGTCACCTGGTTTATCCCGATCTCCCAAGTTTGGGGAAACTCCGGAAGTCGAATGATCTTCACCAATGTTTGGGGAGATCCCCAAAATCGTGCAGGATTTTTGGGTTTTCTTAATAAATATAGGCGCACTTCCCCAAAGTGTAATAAGATTCTGGGGGACTTCCCCAAAATTAGGAGCTCGGGGTGCGACAATCATTTATCCACATGTTTTAATAATGTCTCGAAGTTACCGAGCAGAACTGAAATAAAGTAACCTCGGGGGACCTTAAAATGTCAAGTAATAGCCTGTTGTAAACTTCTGGTCGGTAGGCTTTGGCTCAACTATTTTAGTAAAAAGCAATGGTTTAATTACATCCAGTTTTTTGACGATCGATTGATGAACTAGAAGTTTCTCAACTTGAGATCTCGATTCACGCAGTTATATAATGTGAGTAATTTTATCAGATTTATTCTGCTTCTAGGTTAGTCAGAATAAATCACCTATATTCTCTCCATTCCAGTTCCAATATCGATCAATAGTAAGTGCCGAGTTGTATTCCTTCTTCGTAATTCCTTATAGTCATAGGCTAAGTTGTGTTGTCTAGTGATCGGTGATCTATAACAGATGGAAGAACATCTACTTACTTTATTGTTAAACACAATCTGTTACTTATTATTATGTATTCAACCCAATCTATTATATCACCAGATCTTGAATCATGAAACATTTAGTTACAACTTCATGGGTACCGACATTTTTCCCAAACCTACCGGACTTCATCCTCTTTGTTCTTGTCCACTTATATGAACTGACCGGTAACTCGTTTCCAAGCACTGGAAAGAATAGACGTTTTTCCTAATATATCCACATTATTTAACAAATTATCACTCAACCATATAAATATCCCTTAAAATATCTCAATACTTGGTTTTCTCCCTTGTCATTAAAGTAAACTGGTGAGAGCTTTTCTAACAGTATGATATAAGGTGTGTACGAAGGATCCACCTAGGGAATTCGGGAGAACCTTATGCTAACCAACTGCACTCATGGACTTCGAGATCCTGGAGGAACAAATGGCATATGAATCTATTCTTGATCACCAGTTAACATAGGATCGCATCTACTAACGTTGCTCCGTCGACATGTGGATTAGACCTCCAAGCCAAAGTTTCGAGGGTGGCTCCCTAAAAAAAACCAACGGCTTCTGTCTAGGCACCCAGGGAGTATCCCGCCCACACACAACTTTAATGATAACTGCTTTGTGTGACACATTTTGGTGCCCTTTTTTTTTACCAATGTTTATGTATTCAAATAAATAAATAAAATGATATTAAGTATTTACACTAGTTTTTCAAAAAAGAAATAACTATTACCATTATTTTTAGATTGTGAGCAATTGAAGAAAACCTGTATAGTATTAACACATATGTTGTATATTTTTGTAAGAGACATCCTACAACAATAACAAAATTCGTCAGTAATTGTTTGTTGTTCATAAATGCTAACAAAATTAAGAATAAATAGTGTACACATTAGATTAATTAAAACCTGTATGAATATATATATATGTTTCTGTACAATGATATTTGATATGAAAACCTATTTGACAGAACAAATTCGATTATGAAATTGAAGATGTTACAATTGACAGAGATGAATTACTATGAAGACTTGCATCAATTGATGTTGAGTCTAAATTCATAGCCTTTAAGGAAAAAAACAGAGGATTTAAAAAGCATCAGGTTTATTAAGATAACTTCGGTTAGACAACCAAGACTGATTGGATACTTTTTGCGTCCTAACATAAAATATCTCAACAGTGCACACCAACAAACTTATAAGAGATAGGATTGACGATCATCAAGCACTAATGCAATCGCTTAACAACCAGAGCACTGAGTTGGGATCCAGTAGTTCAAATCCCTAACTCCAATTAACTCGTGATATTTCTGATGTTATTAGGAAGCGAGTATAAATAAAATTGGAACTTTCAGAAGCATTTTTTCATATTATCATTACAGATAGTTTTATTACACAATCGGTATATGACAGCATTATTGTATTTTCAGATTTTCCTTATTGTAAAATTCCAGTGGACCTAATGGACCTATTAACCATTATGCGTTTTACCATTCACATAGTACTAATAGGAAATTATGTACTTATTGCTTCGTTATCTGCTACTTATGGCTTAACAGTGATGAAATCATGACTCGTTATTTGCTATATTTTGCGATCTGACAATTTGCGTATAGAATCTAACAATTGTTTGAGATAGCTAATGTGCTAGCTGGCTGGACTGAGTGATTGAAACATAATAACAACAGAAGCTTGTTTACGGACTTCTCCTGAGGCTCAAGGCTAGGGATGAGGTAAGGTCCACAGATAGGCGACCAATAGAAGTGTAGCTTACGTTAGCTCAGTGTTGTGTCGGCCAGAACGTATCATTCCTCTAAGATAAGGAAGCTAGGCTATAGTTCATAAAGCAGAGGCGGGGTGAAAAAATGTGATCGGAAATTCTGATTGGTAGACTTAGCTCGTGGCAACGATCAGCGTCCCCAGACACACCAGTTCAACCATTATCCGCTACCATTAGTGATATTTATATAACAATTGGAATACTAGGACAAAACAGCTGTCCAGTACCTTCTGGTTTTCACTAATCATCTAAACAAAATCAGTTTCTGATGAGAAACTTTAAATTCGACAATTTGCATAATACCCTCTAACAACAATCATTATTTGTAGTTAAACGAGATGGAATTTACCATGAAAAAGATATAAGATAAATTTAACCTTCACTATGAACAGTTACAGATATAATAAGCAGTAACGGGGCTTAAAAATGTACTTCTGTAGTATACTTATGTGCTTATTTTGACAGACATAAGTAGTATGTAATACCAATCAGAAGTTGAACGTCTGTTGAAAGAAGGTTGAGGGGATTGAACTGAAGGAAAAAGCAAGGAACTTGGGAAATGAGAATTGAGAAATGGAGGAATCGTGAAGCGTGTAAAGGACAATTGACGATACATTTGCAAATGAAGTATTTAATTTATGCTTTTTGGTATCTTACGAAAGAACTCTGTAACTTTGCATTAAACAATAAATTACTTGTCCCATCTGAGTTATCATTCACTACAGTTCTACTGGTTGATCTTGAATAAACCTAGAAAGTTCGACACCTAAAAGGTTTTTTTATAGAACGTCTGTTTTTGTGACAAACATACTGTGTATTATTGTATGTAGCCTCCATTAGTGCTGACTAGTTACCCTGTCTGCTTTGCATTAAGTCAGTTTTCTTTATAAATGATGATCAATTGACCACATAATTCACATCAACTCGGACAAATCACGATTAATTCAATTATATTGTAAGTAAACGACAGACAGCACCAATGGAATGATAATAGCGTAATATTAAAACTTGAGATTAAATAGGAATGTAGAACATTTGATTGTATTTCAATGGTTTAGAGATTTTGTACCTGTCAAGAAATTCAAAGTTGATTTATCTATTTTGTTGTACATTTTGTGTGTGTATAGACACTGCCGAAATTTGTCAAATCGGAACAAGACAGCTGTTGAGTACATCTTCATTTTTAATTATTAAACACATATGGTGATATTGATGCGTAGTGAGAATACACTTCAGGATGAACATTATCCATATAACCTAAATAATTATATGTTTCATACAACAAATACTAGCTGAAACTATCCTCACAAATAAGTTTGCTGACAATAAATATAAACACATTGCCAAATATATGCACCTAAATCCACGAATATTTGGATCAAATGTCTCATTAGATTTTTGGTTAAAAGAAAGGCATTTCAGTGATAACTAATAACATCCTATAAATACAATTCTAGACATAAATGAAACTGTCTCATATAGAATAAAAAAGGATTGGATCATATAATACTTAATACTACGTTATGAACATAACTATAAAATTTCCTCAGGCAGACTAAAACACTGTTATGCTTTATATGCCGCTAACAATAAGCCTATTGAACTTGAGTTTTCTCTCTCGGATAATTATTTTCATAGATATAACTCACAAATTATGCGACTATATAATTAAAATATACGACAGTAAATTACCATAATTTATAAATTCTATGATATTTGCAACAAAATTCGTGGCCCATGACAACGTTCGATGGAGAATTCTGGTGGGGAGCCTATGTTTCTCCATGAGGGGTAAAAAGTGTAATTAGTTCATCAAGTAATCTCATCTGTATATTCAAGTTGATTTTAATCGATTACCTAATCTTCGATTACTTTGATTTGAGATTTGGAAAAAAAGGAAATTGTTGCCGCACATCAATGGTATGATAATAAACAAGTACGGAAATTGGTGCGTTTACAATAAGCGGCGTAAGAAAAACGTGAAGCACACACGCAAGACTTAGAGATAATCATAGTTTCTTTTTCACCCCTATCATCTTGCAAGGAATGGAAGTTTACAAACTTAACTTATTACAGAGTTACTCTAAGACAAATAAATAACCATTTGATCTTATTAATAGATCTCCTACTGAAATGTTTGACATTAACATCTTAGCCGTTTCATAAAGCCCTAGCCTACTTTGACACTTTAACTGGGACATTAGAAAATAGGCACAAAATGTGAGTAAGTGCTATTAACTCCTGGGGTTAGTGATGTACGGAAAATTCATTACACGTACAGAGTTCCATATGACTTTAACCTTTGACAAACTTTCTGGAAGGATAAAAAATATAGTAACAACACAGCTAATTATCCAACTAAAAAATAACACAAAAATTATACCTGTAAAGCAGCTTGTCGTACAAGTTCCAAATCTGAAAAATCTTCAAGATCATAAGAATCAGTGACAGTAGTATTCGATTCAATGTCTCGATGAGTTCCTAATATTTTTGAAGTATTACCATAGGACGACCGTTGTAATATATTATTCATTAATACTATTCCATTATTATTCTCATTCTTATCAAAATTTCTATTATCATAATGTAAAGTATGATGTTGTTCTGATATTTTAGAAAGTTCTGTATTGGACATTTTAGCAAATGAAGATAACGTTTTATCTTCTTCATATTCATTAAATTTGCTCAATTCATAAGAAAATTTCTCATTTTGTTCTTCTTTGGTACCATTAAATTGAACAATAATTTTTGATAAATGACTGTTTGAATTATTCCTATCGAAGTAAATAGTAATAATAATAATAATAATAATAATAATAATAATAATAATAATAATAATAATGTTTTAAGCATTCATATTCATTTCTTAATATTATTTCAAACATTATGAAATAGTGCTGATACAAATGATAAAGGTAATTCTAATTGTAAATACATTTTGATAATAGATAATTTTTTTCATTTAATATTCTAAATATATGCAGAAGATATTTAACTTGGGTAAAACCTAATTGCATTATTCATTTATATTATTATTGTCTCATGAAAGTGTTACACTCATGTGACTTGGTTTACTTACTTACTTACGCCTGTTACTCCTCGCGAAGGAACATGGGCCACTCACCAGCATTCGCCATCCAACCCTGTCCTGGGCAATCCTTTCCAGCTCCTTCCAGTTGCTATTCATCCTTTCTATATCTGCTTTTATTTCCCGATGTAATGTGTTCTTTGGCCTTCCTCGTTTCCGCCTTCCTTCAGGATTCCAAGTTAGGGCTTGTCTCGTGATGCAGTTTGACGATTTGCGTAGTGTATGTCCTATCCATTTCCATCGTCTTTTCCTAATTTCCTCTTCAGCTGAAAGCTGGTTTGTTCTCTCCCACAAAAGGCTGTTGCTGATGGTATCCGGCCAATGGATGTTGAGTGTCTTGCGTAGACAACTATTTGTAAATACTTGCACCTTCTTGATGATGGTTGTTGTAGTTCTCCAAGTTTCAGCTCCGTACAGTAGAACTGACAATCTTGACTTTCATATTGAAGATTCTCACTTTGATATTGGCTGAAAGTTGTTTTGAGTTCCATATGTTCTTCAATTGTAGAAATGCGGCCATTGCTTTTCCAATCCTTGACTTTTCGTCTGCATCTGAACCTCCTTGTTCATCGATTATGCTTCCCAGGTATGTGAAGGACTCTACATCTTCCAGAGTTTCGCCATCAAGAGTGATTGGATTGCTGTTTTCCGCCTTGAATTTGAGGACCTTGGTTTTCCTTTTGTGTATGCTGAGGTCTACTGATGCGGAGACTGCTGCTACACTGGCTGTCTTTATCTGCATTTGTTCATGTGTATGCGATAGGAGGGCTAGATCATCTTCAAAGTCCAAATCGTCTAATTGATTCTGAGCTGTCCATTGTATTCCGTGTTTTCCTTCAGATGTCGAGGTCCTCATAATCCAGTCGACCACCAGAAGAAAGAGGAAGGGAGAGAGTAAACAGCCTTGTCTGACTCCGGTCCTTACTTGGAATGCATCTGTCAGCTGTCCTCCATGCACGACCTTGCATTGTAGTCCATCGTAGGAGTTCCGGATAATATTGACAATCTTCTCAGGAACTCTGTAGTGTCGAAGAAGTTTCCATAATGTCCTCCTGTCTACACTGTCAAATGCCTTTTCATAATCAATAAAGTTGATGTACACTGACGAGTTCCACTCAACTGATTGTTCGACGATGATCCATAGTGTCGCAATGCGGTCTGTGCACAACCGATCCTTACGGAATCCAGCTTGTTGATCTCGAAGTTGGGTGTCTACTGCATCTTCATCCGGTTCAGCAACACTCTGTTGAAGACTTTCCCTGGTATTGACAGTAGTGTAATGCCTCTGTAGTTTTCACATTTGCTCAGATCTCCTTTCTTTGAAGTCTTGATGAGGTGTCCTTCTTTTCAGTCCATCGGCTCTTGTTCCTCCTCCCAAATATCCTCGAATAGAGTATGAAACATGTTTGTAGTTACTTTGATGTCTGACTTCAGTGCTCCAGCTGGTATATTGTCGAGTCCTGCTGCTTTCCCGCTCGTGATTTGTCTGATCGCTATTCTGATTTCTTCCGTCGTTGATGGATTGACATCTATAGGAAGATCTGTGTGTGCTGCTTCCATGTCCGGTGGATTCATTGGAGCCGACCTATTCAGGAGTTCCTCGAAGTATTCTACCCATCTGTTCCGCTGTTGTTGAATTTCAGTGATTGGCCTGCCTTCTATGTCCTTGACCGGTCTCTCTGGTTTACTGTATTTCCCTGCTAGTTTCTTCGTTGTATCGTAAAGCTGTTTCATATTTCCTTCCCTTGCAGCTTTTTCCGCCGTCGTTGCTGGTTCTTCCACGTATTTCTTCTTGTCGGCTCTAGTGCTTTTCTTCACTTGCTGTTTGCTTCTATGTATTCAGCTTGTGCTTGGACTTTCTCTGCTCGTGTTCGGTTGTTGTTAATTGCTACCTTCTTGTTCTTTTTTCTTTGATCTTGTCTAGAGTTTCTATAGAGATCCATTCCTTATGATGATGCTTCTTTATGCCCAGAACCTCTTGACACGTTGAAGTCAATGCTTCTTTGATGCCTTTCCAGTTGTCCTCCATAGTAGTTTCTTCTTCCGCCTGTAGCTCTTCTAGAGTTACTGCCGGTCCCAAGCCCGGATAAAGGAGGAGGTTGGGCATGGGGTGAGCGTCCTCATCCCATAGAAAACTAACTCGTTAAAAAAACGTTTACCATGTGACTTGGTTAATAATCTAAAATTGTAGTCAATTGTTAATTAGTGATATCGTATCATTCTACATCATTTAATAATTATTGTTCTCCAGTAACTTATTTCTTTTATCAGATCTTGTGTGCACACTGCTGAGGAGTCCCATACTAAGACGAGACAGTCGTCCAGTGCTTCCAGGTTTTCCATGGTGGTTTAGCTTCAATTGACTCAATGAATTCAACTATAAAATTATTTTTTTAAACTTAAATTGTCAAAACACATTCTTCAAACAATGTTCCATAATGGACAAATAACTGATTGTTACATTTTTAAAGCTATTACATGATGTTCAATAGATAAGTAGGCTTTGAAATTATCTAGTTTTTATATATATATTTTATGAATAAATATTAACGCTGACGTGCAAGGAATTCCTTAGTAACTTGATTCCAATCCGTTGGTTTTCCCTGTTATCACATTCGTTACTGTTACTTTTGGTTTGCTACTATTGTAGTGTCTCTAGGTCACAATTATAGATAAAGTTGATTTACTACGATTTCACCTTCTGTCAAGAACGTATCAAGCTGACATAAAGGTTTCTTTTGTTATTTCTTATTTAAAGTGTTCTAATTTATTAGTTACCTGGTCTATCTAGTTTGCGTAGACCATGTTCTATATTGAAAAACCCCCATTCGTTCAGAACCACTATAAGCTACAGAGAATCATAACTGCTTAGCAGTAAGCATCCACGATCCCACACACGGGACTCGAACCAAGAAACATCGGTTTTGCGTGAAAAAACACTGATCTATTCACGATTTCGATAAAATTCGAAAATTTTCACAACTCCAAATTGAAAATTATCATGTGCTCACTAGTGACTAACTTTGAGAGGGAATTCTCGGAGTTCTAGTGATAAGCCGTGACCAGTGGAGTCCAAGCGTTTCGGGTATGAGGCAGTTAACCACTAAAGACAATGGATGATCACACAACATCGGGGATCGGCTGAAGTTAGACGTTAACACCAATGAACGCCAGTTCAATATTCTAAAGGTTAGGCATTCACGAGAGACCGGAAGTCCTGGGCTTAAACCCCGCGTATGGGACCGTGGGAGCACCCCAATGAGGCACCGCATGCTAGGACGAAACGGCTGTCTGATGCTTTAAGGTTTTCAATGATGTTTAACATTGATCGGCACATGATTTCGATTAAATTCGAAAAACTCCACAACCCCAAACTGCAGGAAATCATAACAGTATAAATTGAATAGATAACCACGGCTTCATACAACAGAAATCATTTGGTTGAGCTACGCTTTAGCAGTCAAAGCACTTAACTAGTAACCACCAATTCGCAATGTTTAGCCAAGTTCTAATAACCTCGGTTTAAACAGTCAGGTATTGTTAATATACATAAGGCTGAGTTCATGAATCCACTCTCAATTTCTAAGTTACACTACAAAATTAAGTACTCAATAACCAAACTAAACAACTTAAAACAACTGTCTAAATGCTAAAAAGACGTCACAAATAGTAAAGTGATATGAAAATGATACCATTTTGTATTTGTTAGTTATTAAAATGCAATGAACACTTCACAAAGAACATCACAAACAACAACTACAAACATGAATAATCCAGCGGAAATTAAAGTGATATTAAGTTTTTCTACTGAACTCTTAAAAAATATTAGGTCGTCTCATTTTGTAATAGGAAAAAACAGCTTTCTTACTGTTTTATGCACTACATATATCGATACTAGTCGACAAAACATATGTCGTAATAGAATAAGTCGTTTCTTACTAAGTACATCTCCGCCTTTTAACATTACTAACATGTGATCCACTTAAAAGTGTGAGGTTATTACTTGCGTTACTCATATAGCAAGTAACAATAATAATACTCATCATGACAACAACGATTACTATTATACACCCTAAATACATAACACTGCTTAGACAATAATAACCAAGATTCAACATTTTTATATTTGTTAGTTATCATCTCAAAGTATCTATCTAGTCCCTGAAGCTTTCAAAGTAGTCAAACTTAACTTATGAGGATCAATTTTGTGAAATCATCAATGTACATTCATCAATAAGATTGGATATTTTTACCTTACATGTGGCTAATCACAAAATGAGTAATACAGTGAAGATGTCTTTGGTTGTAACACTGGTTAAACAGTGTTTAAATCCTATGGGAACCATCAATTACTATGGGGTTACAGATATGTATTGTTAGCTAACGTCGATACTAACATGAGACCTAAGTTGAGGGCTTCCAGATGATTACTATCAACCACTTAACAATTAATTAAGAAAAGTTTAATTTATGGTAGATCTTAAACAAATAATACTGTAATATATCAGATAAATACAGTGAAAGTATATGGAAAAGAAAAGAATCTAAAATAGTCTATTCAGATCAGTTCAGTCATTCAAAAGCAACTTAATGAGTATACCCATGAAACATGTTTAATATATACACTTATTATATTTGAGTAGTACACATCAATGCTACTTAAAAACGGTAAACATATATGTACAAAAATCATTATAATATTACAAATTTCCAAATACAATATGACACAGAAATAAAATGATTCACTAAACTATTTCTCAAACCATATGTACTGCTCAATTCAATAAATAAACTAATATCAAACACAGAATTTGCATTATACTACATAACTCTCTATCGTAGCAACTAACACTTGAACAGATGAATAAGCACTGATACAAACTTCATTCATTCCAATTACAAATCATTAATAAAACAGATAATCCATTATTATTTACACGCTAATTTGTTGTATCTTTCAATATTATCCCCTTAAGTTAAAGTGTTTAACGGACCATAATTCAAATTTTCGCTAGCTGTCCACAAATCTTGAAATGTTAACCCTTTCAAAAAAAGAAAACTTTATATTCAGTCAGTTCTAGTAAACAACTAAAAAGAAAAAACAAAGCATTTTACTTGAAGCGTTTCTAGTGATCATTTAATTTGATAAAGGGTTTAAGAAATTTTTATCCCGAAACAATATCAAATGCTAATAAATTTCCAAATAAATGAGTATTACACAGATTGAAATCATGAGTCAGTTGAAGCTCGACCACCATTGAAAACCTGGAAGCACTGGACGGCCGTTTCGTCCTAGTATGGGACTCCTCAGCAGTGCGCATCCACGATCCCGCACCACGCGGGGCTCGAACCCAGGACCTACTGCTGAGGAGTCCCATACTAGGACGAAACGGCCGTCCAGTGCTTCCAGGTTTTCAATGGTGGTCGAGCTTCAACTGACTCATGATTTCAATCTGTGAAATTTCTAAAATCTCCACAAAACCCATTCTGATAAAAATGAGTATTAGACAATTGTTTGAATCCACTTTAAAAAAAAACAAAACTAGTGAATAGTAAATAGACATAATTCCATATAAAATCAAACTTAAAATCTTGTCAGTAGTCGTATTAAACACTATATTTTTTTAACTATGGAATCAAAATATGAATGGTGATATTTCAATTGAAGGTGATATTAACTATGTCCATAGCTCAACCAATCAAATTCTTGTATAAACGCCTACCATGTCAATCAGTAGACTAGCCCTGTTTCCTGTAACCAGTCCATTGAAGGACATTATTAGTATGACTCATAGTTTTTTATATTCATTTTGATAAGACAAGTGATACTGGTTGGTATATTTGTGTGTTCCACTTAATGACTTGAATTTCTTTAATTATTGTACCAATCAAATTCTTCATAATTTTTAGAAACAGATAAAGTTTAAATCCAATTTGTCCTTGTTCTAGCTAGAGCTTTTACATAGACTCTGGAGGGTCGTCGGTATCACGTTTACAACTCTTGTAGAATACTTGTACTTATTTACCTACGCCTGTTACTCCCAATGGAGCGTAGGCCGTCGACCAGGATTCTCCAACCCACTCTCGTCCTGGGTCTTCCTTTCTAGTTCTAACCAATTGTTATTCATCATTCTTCTCATGCCTGTCTCCATGTCTCGGAGTAAGGTGTTCTTTGATCTTCCTCTTCTCCTTTGACCTTAAGGAGTTTAAATGGTTTGAACTATTTTTTCCTGGTTAGCGTTTTTTTAGCGAGTAAGTTTTCTACAGGATGAAGTTGCTAACCTCATGCCTAACCCTCCTCCTTTATCCAGGCTTGGGACCAGCAATAGCCCCGAAGGGGCTCCGGACGGAGTTGTAGAATATCTATAGGATAAATTAAATTCTACAGTTGATTTTACAATGTTACGCAATAATACACCAATATAGCATAGGTACATATCTGTCTGTTTTTCGGATCTGTTTTAATTTCATTGATTACAGGTTACCATTATTATTATTATTATTATTATTATTATTATTATTATTATTATTATTATTATTATATTTGTTATTATTATTATTATTGTTGGAAAATTTGATCATCAGTTTTCAATAATCACACAAAGATGAAAACAAAAACACAGTTTAAACAATCTACAACAACATACTTCAATTCATTATCATTTTCCATATGTTCAATCATATTATTAGATAATTGAACACAATTTAAATTATTACTATCGTCACTGTTCTTTGTATTCAATAGATATACATTATTCAATGTATGCTCCATTATTAGTTCTTGTCTTTGATCATGATAATTATCTTGTATATCAGTTTGAGTATAATTAGAAGAAAATTCAATAGATTTATAAGTAGAATTTGTCAATTTAAGTGAAATGGATTCTTTCCAAGCTTTTAATTCTTCAACCTAAACAAATTAAAAAAATGATAAGAAGTTTCAATTTCATTCTTTTTTGTTTTCTTGTTACCAATAAATAACGATAAAATACAAAATCAGTGTATAATTCATTTCAGTTTATTTGATATATGATTAGTAGTGGAATTCATATTGAATGTTTCGTTTTCGTCGAGTTTCATCAGCTGAGTTTTCATATATTTCAGTATTAATGTTCCCATGGAGATTCACTGGATAACATGTTAAGCACTGGAAGAGAACTATATTGGGTTTGAGATATTAATGGAGTTATAGGTACATCCAGTTAATGGGTATATCAAACAGGGAAAAACGTGCATCCCAATCTTCACTTCAAACAAAAAAATGTAGCATAACAATATATCGAGACAGTTCGATCAGGATACACAAAAAGCAAAGAAAACTGAATAATTGCAATCTTGAATATCAACAACGACAAATTGTGAAACATTTTGGCAAAGCAATTCGTTTGTTTTAATTTTTACATTTAATAAAATGGTTACGCAGAGATGGCATGCCGATTTTAGAGTCACAAGTCACAAATAAATTTCCACTGTAGAAACACCCTAAATCTGTGATTAGTTATTAACTGTTTTTTCAGGCTGAAATCTCTCAGTGATCTACATTCAAGACCTCTGCACGGAACCAAAACCAGAATTCTGCTTTTCATCTTTCCGTCCGTCCACCGAAACGAATGTTTGCAACATAAACATTCGAAGCACTCGTGTCCAGTGTTCTATAGATAAAATATATACAATATAAGTAGGATCTGTATTTCGTCTACATCGTTAAAGATTCAACCACTTTGGAGTCAGAAAACCCCCCATTTAAAATATGTCAAAACAATTTAACAACAAGCTCAAACAATAATGACGACATAATATTTATGCAAACTAGTCTACTTCATTGAACATTGGTTAGTCACTGGATATGATGGGTCCTTTTTCGTGCTGGCCCAATTCTATCGATTAAGTTGCAACATGGTCGCTGGTCTAAGTGACTTAACACCACGTGCACTATGTTGAGATGCAAGGTGGTTGTTGGAAATAGTGGATGGTAAACGCTGAACCTAGGTTTCATGCTATTTAGCACTCTTCAGCAAGGTATATCTCTGGTCTTGATGGGACTGATGCTCCCGAGTGTATTAAATCACACACCAGAGATCAATCATTTTTAAATACATCTTAGTCCTACAGGCGGTCACCTGCGGCCCGGATAGCTCAGTAGTAACATTACTGGGCGACAAGAGATTAAATCCTCCGGGAAGCATTAGCTTCCACTAGATTACAAGTGCATCTCCCTGACGAGTGCCAAATAGTATGAAACGTAGGTTCAACGTTTCCTGTGGACTACTTCCAACTACCATCTTACAGTTCACTTTATGCACAAAGTACATTATTCATTTCCATCTTACTGCAGTTTGTCGGGATACGTAAGTAAATTTGTCTTGAGTTCATAAAAGACATAACACCAATTTACGTTCAATACATAATTCTAATTCACCTGAATCAACAATATATTACACATGATCTCCCATAGTATCGTGTATAGTTTATTCATCGTATATAGTTCATTCGAAATGTTATCGACAAAACTGTAGTGACTCACATTTATCACGAGAACACGACTGGTTTAATAAAAACAATTATTATTATAACCAACTGTACCAGTGTTTGTTTTAATGTGCTTTTGTTTAACTGTGCTAATTATAGCCATTTTGTGCTTCCATTACCTTCCATCATTGTTCCGCGGTTTTTGGTACTGTTCGCACGTACTCCTGTCTTCTGCTTCCACTTGTACCACTTCTTGGCACGATCTCGGTATTCGTTCAATACCACGAGATCGCCAACGAAATAAATCTGGTTACCTTCAACCTCGCCTTCTGATTTGTCTGGCACGTGTTTCTTGGTAGCGGTGTTCACAGTTAATCTCAACTCGACGCCACGCTACATTGGTGATCCCAAAGTTTGGAACACGCCTCAACCTCGGGTCAAATCTTCCAAAGAAGTCAATTTGGTGAGTCTATTATTTATCTATCCACGTCTGTCGTATATTTTCATATTAATTTTTAATATATAATATACACGACATGACGGATAACGATAAGAATACTATTAATGTTATAGACTCAGACCTACAAGCCATTCATTTTCGACCTGTATCATTTATCCCCCACGACCCTGAGGTCTGGTTTGCTGCTTTAGAGTCTCAGTTCGAGACTCGTCGCATCACGAGCCAAAGGCAAAAATACGCCTACGCTCTCGAGTCATTACCCGGGGACCATTTAGTAGCTGTTCGTGAGGTTGTCCTCAATTCTAACGTGCCTAATGTTTATGACCGCCTCAAGGAGGCAATTCTCCGACATTTCCTCCCATCGAGGGAGGAACGATTGAGGACCCTGTTAGCACGTCACCCCCTGGGTGACGCTAAACCAAGCCATCACCTCACGCGCCTGCAATCTCTTGCAGGACCAACAGCATCAGACTCGGAGATAGTCAAGGAATTATGGCTCGAGTCACTACCAGCCCATATCCAACCTACTGTGACGGCACTGCTCGAGGACTCACCGCTTAACCAGGTAGCTCTCATAGCAGACAAAATTTTGGCGAGGACTAGTAATAGAGACACCTATGTAGTCGCTTCGACGGCACGTCCTAATGTAGACATGGACGCCGGTCATTCCACAGCTCATGGTGACAGGGCCGGGTGTATTCACACACGTCTTAGTTTTCGAGATCGCTGTAACGTACCCCAACCCTACGTCCCCCGAGCTCGCTCAAGTTCTCGCAAACCCGTCACCACTCGCCCAAAAAGGGCATCTTCCAGGCCACGCCGAAAGGCGGCTACGGAAGCGAGTGACAGTTGGTGCTGGTTCCATAGGTCCTTCGGGTCTGGCGCCCGCCGTTGTCGAGCACCATGCTCATACAAGGCGGGAAACGCCAGCGCCGGCGAGTAAAAGCGGCCGTACTCGCCGGCCCTTTACCCCAGGTTGGTCGCCTATTCTACGTGCACGATTACCGCACGAACGCTAGGTTCCTAGTAGACACTGGGGCCCAAGTTTCTGTCGTACCACGAGGTAGCAGCAAGTCACAAGCCACAGTGCTTCGACTACGCGCTGCGAATGGCTCAGTCATTCCTACCTACGGTACACGACAACTCGCGGTCAACCTGGGCAACCGACGACGGTATCTGTGGACGTTCATCATTGCTGATGTTCCCACAGCCATACTAGGTATCGATTTTCTACAGCACTATGAATTGCTTGTCGATTCACGTAGGCTGCAGCTAATCGATACTTCGTCGAACAGCAAATTCATGGGCTGTAAAGCCCACATGAACGCGTACCGAATCCTGGGCACTTTTTATTCGCGTGACGATAAATTCCACGCTTTATTCGAGAAATTCCCCGTAATCACTAAACCACTCGAGGAGCTTCCATCGGTGACCAATCGTGTGGTACACCACATAGTCACCCGCGGACCGCCAGTCACGGCACGACCTCGCCGACTGGCACCGGACAAATTAGCTTTTGCTAAGCGTGAGTTTGACAATTTACTAGCTACTGGTATTATTCGTCCTTCTCACAGTCCATGGGCCTCTCCTCTACACATGGTGCGCAAAAAAGATGGGGTTAGTTGGAGACCATGCGGCGACTACCGAGCTCTAAACGTAGTTACGCGCTTTGATAGCTACCCCATCCCCCACATACACGACATCACGGCATCGCTCAAGGGCACGACTATCTTTTCTAAGATCGATCTGGTACGAGCATATCATCAGATCCCGGTCGCTCTTGAAGACATCGAAAAGACTGCTATCACGACTCCTTTCGGTTTGTTTGAGTTCCTACGAATGCCATTTGGATTACGGAATGCTGCTCAAACTTTTCAAAGGTTTATCGATAGCATTGTACGAGACCTCGATTTTGTTCACGTCTATATTGATGACCTGCTAATCGCATCATCAAACGTAGATGAACATTATCAACATCTTACGCTATTATTCCAACGCCTTTCGGATAATGGAATAGTAGTTAACCCAGACAAATGCGAGTTAGGTAAACGAGAAATCATATTTCTGGGTCATGTTATCAAGCAAGAGGGTATTCTACCTTGTGAGGACAAAGTGCAAGCAATAAAGGAGTACAACGTGCCGTCCTCACTCAAGGAACTGAAGGCTTTTCTCGGTTTGGTTAACTTCTACCGTCGTTTCATCCCACACGCGGCAGAACGGTTACGACCACTAACCGACTTACTACGCGGCAACCCACGCAGATTGGAAATGAACGATTCTGCACGTACTGCATTCACTGAAATCAAAACGGCTCTTGCGCAAGCCACTCTTCTCGCCCATCCCGATCCATCAGCCACGCTTAGTATAGCGGTTGATGCATCCGATGTTGCTATAGGAGCAGTCATGCAACAAAACATCTCCGGTAGTTGGCAACCTCTCGAGTTTTTCTCACGACGCCTTACTACCACGGAGACGAGATATAGCGCTTTTGGTCGCGAGCTGCTAGCAGCCTACTGCGCCATCAAACATTTTCGGCACGCAGTAGAAGGACGTCGATTCATTTTATTCACCGACCATAAGCCCTTAACGTATGCTTTGCATACCAAGTCTGACCGCTACTCACCACGAGAGTGCAGACATTTGGACTATATCTCCCAGTTCACGACAGACCTTCGTCACATCCAAGGCAAGTCGAACTGTGTTGCCGATGCTCTATCACGAATCCAAATGAATGCAGTTACCCTGCCGGTGCTCGATCTTCCTGCTATGGCCGCTGCCCAAGCAAACGATCCCAGCTGTACAAAGCACCACACTCTACGTCCCTTCAGTATCAGGAAGTACCTCTAGCCACGACTTCTGGCACCATTCTATGTGATACTTCTACCGGTTTTCCTCGACCCATCGTACCCTCTGCTTATCGCCGTCTCGTTTTCGATGCCCTGCATGGATTATCTCACCCAGGTATCGCAGCTACATTACGC